CCAAGGAGCCCGTCTGCTGCTGTGTGCGGTCAGGAAGCACATGAGCTCATCGAGGACACCGTGCAGCAGTGGAACTAGGGTGGAAAAATTAACCTCGCTTTTCTCCCTTGCTCTCAAAGACTTAGGAAAAAAAATCTGTTACTAAGAGAGGAACCAGAACCTTTGGAAGATCAAGCACAACTGCCAAGCTCAGCCTGCATATTTTTTCAATGAGACCAAAACAGACGGCACAGGCATATCAGCAACTATTTTCACTTGGGAACTTCAAAGCCCTGTAAAAAACCGCGAGCCGCGCTTGGTCATGACAAAAGACTTTTAAATCAACCATTTTGCGACCTATCAAGCTGGGCGTTTCACACTTGGTAATCAAGTCTGAAACGTGAGCCTTTTCACAAAGTAAGGCCACCGTATCAAAATGTTATGGAGAAAGCCGGAAAGAGGAACAGAAAGTTTCAGCACACATGCGAATGTCATGCGTTTTAAACACGTTGAAGCAACCTATCCTCTGTATTCAACTTCCCTCCAGCAGACTCATCAGACCTGACCTCCAGTCAGGGGTCCTGCCCTTCTCCACAAAGGAGCAGTAAAACACCTGGTGCTGGCAGGAAATGGGAGGCAGAACCCGAGGCCGGTAATCCTCAGCCAGTCATCTGCAGCACTGCGATTTAGACAAAAAGGGGAACAGTATCTCCAGGAAAATTTAAAACTTAAGTCATTCTCCTTGAAATGTTGAACTTATTTCAGCTGCCTTCGGAGGCTCTCACCACTTGTGGCTCGGCCGTCAGCTGCAGGATGGGCTCGCAGGTCCGGTTCACACCGTCTCGGCAGAATGAGGTCCTCGGGATTCAGCTCTCCCCGAGGGGCGACACAAACCAGTCAGCCTCAACTCCCGCCACCATCCAGGCGCCTGGGCCGGCAATGGCCACATCACCCCACCCGCTCAACAGGCAAGCCCTGCTGCGGACACATCGGCTGCCAGCCTCACAGCTCAAAGACAAATCGCAGACCATCGGAGATTTAAAATCATGGGGGGGGGGGGTATTTTTCTAAAAACAAGAGACATCAGAAATCAGCGGGGTCGAGACAGCGGCAGTCTATTTGCGACTGTGAAACTGAGGTGTCTTTTGGACAAGGACGCCGGGCGGCTTCTACATTCACTGCAGGGGTGGTTTAGAATGAGCCACAGCACACCAGAGCTCAGCGCCTTCATGGAAATCACCCACATGAGGAACGGACTGGAAGGAAGACAATGCCATTTATTTTCAAGTACTCAATAACTGCTACAAAAACAGGATCCCAGCAGCAACAAACACCTTTAAAGCCTGAAATATAAGATGAGACTGAGAATATGAACATTCACTTAAAGTCCTGCATGACACCATATGTTCCTAAATGCCAATCTTTTCTCAACAGCTTTACAGACTCCATTATCCCTCCAATCAACATACCCAAATTAGTAGCAGATAGTAAAGCAGAAAATAAAAAGACAGATTCCCTTTTGAATTAGACTGTGTATGTGTGGAAGGCAACAGAACAATAATTTAATGTCTTTACAGAACTATGCTCAAAACCGCATTTGAAATCCTGAACCATCAAACAGAACACTTTGAATTTCAGAACGCCATCCGGGGGATATTAAAATAGATCCTTCCTGAATTATCACACTCCCTCACCTCTCCCATTTTCTGAATACCAGATTCTCTCCATTTGCACTGGTCCGGTGTCCAATCATCAAGCTACATGAAACTGAATTGAATGAATGAAATTCAGCCACACACCTGAAAGCAATTTCTAGGCACATTTTTAAACAGTAGTTCTAGATTGCTACACTTCTGCTGAAGATGGATTTCAGCAGTGATGCAAGTCACCATAGACAGGGCAGACATACCTGTAAGCTTACAGACAAGTACAGTATTGTGTGGGAAAATGCTGTTCTTTGGACAAGCAAAAGAATATGCAGCTCCAGAACCTGCAGGGGATGCTCTGAATTATTTATTGAAAGCTGTAACCACGACCACCGGCTGTGTTATTAGAAGGCCATGAATTCTGAGCATTTATAAATGTGGTTTGAAGAAAACTGTAATTGCAAGTCTTACTTGTTTGCTTTCAGACATACCCTGCTTTCATGATATAAATACATAACTTAAACATTATTAATGGCCATTCATAAAACCTGTTGCAATGCTTGCTGTGCACTTAAAACAAATGTGTATCTTAAATACCAAACAAGCACGCAGTCATTAAATTTAAAAAAAGGCAGCAAAATTCTCCTCAACAAGATAATATATTAAAAGCTTATGTGCTCCGTTTGTTAGTCATGTATTACTTTTTCTAGAGAAGGAAACTTATTTAATGGATTCACAATAAGTGAAAACATGTAGATATTACAGAGTTCTATATAACTTATCAATTATATTATATGGCCAACTGACATATCACATTGCACAGAAAGCCAGAGAACCATACGAAGTATAAACAAGCAAAGTACTGTTATGAACTCATCCGCAACTGTGCTAGTAAATATTTAAACTCTCAGCTTGTGCACAGTGAGATACAAGCCTGAAATGAAAAGATTGGTTTGGACCTGATAGTGATTTATAACACCCAGATCAACTAAATTTACATCAATGTATACGTCTGCCTTCTGAAATAGAAATAGTAATCTCACCACTATACATGGACGTCTATTTCATTTACCTTCCAACAAAAGGAAAATGTTTACATAAGAAGAGAGGTCAAGCCAAACACAGCTCTGAATTGCGCCCAGGACAGACAAGAGGTCCAACATCATTGCCTCTGGCAGACAGTTCACAGCTGTAGTCCTGTCTCCCTTCAGAAAGCATTGCCTTTGGAGGCAGTGTCACAGATCATCCTAAATGGAGAAGGAACACCGCACGCTTCCCAGCGGTGTCTTGTGGTACCCAACCATCACGGCCATTAGAAAGGAGTCCTAAAACAAAGTTATACGGGCCCTCCATCCCTATTCAAAGCCCGAAATAACCTTCTTTTTGTTTTTTCCTCCCAGGAGCTGTCATTACCATGACAAAGGAGGAAGGTATTTTGCCAGGATGCTGAAGTGTGGAGATCGGGGGGGGGATATGTGAAGTCTCAGGCCTCAGCTCTTTTATCTTTTCCCCTCATTTGCAAATGAGTTGCAATTTCCTATCCTGCCCCCGGCAGCCATCCTCTCTCTTGTGCTTGAGAACTCCCAACATCCCCCAAGTTCACGCAGAGCGGAGGAGCTCCACAACTCCCTCCAGACCGGGAGCGGAGGCGGAAATGGGAGAAAGCTTGAGGTGTGGATGTGTCAGTGTCCCCCCCCACCCTCACCCCAACCCTGTTGCTCCAGCCTTTTGTTTTAATTTGTTCAACTGATCATGCTACTCCGGGTCTTCGTATGGACCGATCCGAATCCGAAAGGCCAAGACGTCGTGGGCGACACGACACACCATCGGAAATTCAGTTAATTCGGAGGGCGAGTGCAGAAGGAGCCCGTACGAATCTGGAACCACATCCAAAGCACCGGCATTTTAAACCTGGCGCGGCGGCTCACTAGACGCTGTGCTCGGCCTCAACTGCTGAAGCGCCGCTCCACCCCGGAGCTGGCTGTGACCCTCTGTAGGAGAGCTGTCTCAGCCCACGGATTTAGGGATCGTTTTCACATGTCCTGCCTAGACTGTACCCATATGCCACAAAAGCTTGCGAAGGATAAATCAGCTTGCTAATTAAAACAAAGCTCCCACCAGCACATTTCAGCACAGGGGGTCTTCACGGGTGCCCACGGTCAAGGGAAGCTTTGATGTGCTCTCCTCCAGTCATAAAACACTAGAGGTCTTCGGGGGGGAAAAAAGTAACTTGTGCGCACTGTATCGCCTTAATGGGCGAATTCATCATTTTATAAAGTTACAAAAGCAATAAATAAAACGGGTTTCTCGGCCTCCCTCTCTCTCCCCGGTCCCGTCACATCACTAACCCCTGACCTCAGCTTTGAAGTGGATCATCTCGTGTTCGCTCGACAGGTAGACCGTAAAACTCCTCAGAAACATCATAACCGGGCGTGGGGAAAAGCACGATTCATATTAAAAGAGCTACCGCGTTTCCTGATTTTTTTTTTTAGAGAAGTGCCGTTTTATTGCATAATAAGAAATGCTGCGGCTAGCAAATCATCCAGATTCGTCACATGCTCGATTTTAATGGGATCGCCTTTATATGAGCTATTTTACCCTGCACGTTTGGAAAGGCACTTTTGTATTTTTTGTTCCGTGCGTACACGATGCCACTACCCAACTTTTCTGCCTTTTCACCATGAACTTTCCATGTTCTAACCAAGTCCTCGCCACTTTCTACTCCGCTTTTCACCGCCGCGTCTCTGTGGGCTTTTCCGAGGTGAGTCGAGACCGGAGGAAACAATACCCTCGCAGAGCCCAAATGTTTCTTTTTGAGAGAAAAGTAACCTTCGCAAGCTTTCCGCGCCGTACTCCTGTCGTCCGACCCGCGTTTGGCTGTGTAAACATGCGTGCGGGCATAGAAACCTGCTTTTGTTGACTTTATTTTTAGCTAAAAGTCTCTCTGTATTCGCTTAAACCAAAAACGAGCGAAGAATAAGTCTTTTGTTGGAGACCCCGGGCGTAGGACGGCTCGCCGACTTTTGGAAAGTTTTCTTTCCACGTTGAAACACACACACTCCGGGCTCGAAAAAGCTCACGAAGTGCACCGAGAAAAAGCCACCGTCCGCCTGCTTTCTTCTGCCCTAATGAAACACATCTGAAATTCCCCCAGAGAGGGATTTTGGAGAGTATCTCGGTCGTCCTATAAAACGGCGACTCTCAATTGCGGAGACTCGCGTTTCGGACTTTTTTTTTTTGTTGTTGTTGCTGCAGCTCGAAGTAAGTTCCCCACCACCACCAAAAAAAAAAGACGACCATGATGTGGATGTTAGAGAAGAAAACCGCATGCACAGGTTAGTCAGGTAAGTCTTAAATTAAAGCAGAGCCTCATACCTTTGGCGCAGAGTATGCCGATGGCGAGCGCCGCAGCCGCTCCGGCCGGGAGCCGTACCCGGGGCAGGCGGGGGCGAGGGGCCGAGGGGCGGCAGCTGTCCGCCGCCGGTGCCTCCATGGTCGCACTGGGGGGCGCAGCCGCCGGCGACCAGACGCGTGCGAGACACCGGGGATACCAGAATGAACGGGTCTTCGTGTTTGTGTAATACTACCACACACACACACACAAAAAAGGAGAACGACGGCACGAAAAGCCGGTGGAAGTGGGCGAGCGAGGAAAAACCCACCCCCGAGTGCCCCGAGCCGAGTCCTTTAAAAACCGCTTGTGAAACTACCCCCTTTCTGTCGGGGGGCAGGAGCCCGTTTCCCCCTAGCAGTCCGGATCAGAGGTCACGCAGGTTCACTGGGCGAGAAAGGCAGCCTCCTCCATTCCCGAGCAAGGGTCTCCTGTGTACTTTTACTTTTAAAAACGTTCTGAATGGTGACGATATTACAGCTCCAAAGTGCGGTCCGGCTCCTTCCTCCTCCTGCTCTGCGTGAGACCCGTTTCCCGAGAAACCCAGCCTGCCGACTAGTTCAGTCCCACAACCCACCGCACGAGTTTCACACACCGAGCGCTCGCGCACTCCCCCTCCCTCCCTCGCGCACTCGCTCCCGTGCCGCAGCCGCTTCCGGTCTCCGGGACAGGCCAACCCAATGGCAAGGAGCTCAGACGGGAGTGGGAGGAGAGGGGACCAGTGCTGCGGCCTCCTGGCGGTATAGGTGAGCGGAATGATTTTTTTTTTTTAAAGAAAAGGAGAAAGGAAGGGTGCGCGCGCACACTCACGCGCGCCCCATGCAGTCCACCGACGCGCTTTGCTTGTCTCACAGCGCCGCTCTGTCCTTAGTTGCAACTCTTGTCAACTTACTTTTCTCCCCCCCTTCGGCTCGAAACTGCCCCCTCCAGAACGAAAAGCTCAGGATCAAAAGTCCGAAATCGCCCGGAGTCGTGTCAGGGCGTGTGAGCGGAAGACCCTTGCACACTGCACAAGGCAGAAACAGCGTGTAGTGTTTTAATACCCCTGATCCGTCTTCGCCGAGTTCAACGAAATAAGGCAAACTAGTCCAGCATCAGCTGCAGCTGCTAAAAACCGAAATGGGCTCAACTGCTCGTCTCTTGTTGGAGGCGAATAAGTGTTCAGAGTTTGAGATGTACTGGACTTATTATTGGGAAAACTGTGAATCAATGTGCAAATCTCCAGTAGGAATATCTACAATGTGAAATTGATGGAGTGGACATTTCTGCAAGTCTTTAACAGAGAAATACGTTCCCCATGCTGCTGAGACACATGCACTTTCATTCTGGTGAAAAATAAACCGAAGCTCTAACTGTAAGACAATGGACAAGTTTAAAAGACAAGCATTCAGTTTCAAGTCGGTTAAATTAGGTCTCACGCACTTGAAAGACGAATTTCCATTTGAACCTGAACGTAAATGACTAAATTAGATTCATATTAAAAGGCAAAAGAGGGATTTTGTCAGAATGAACATTTAATTTTTTCTTTTGCAATCCGAACCATAACTTAGACAAGCAATAATTATTTAGAAAAATGTTTACACAGCCCTCCCGTGCTCCTACTAATGTTGCGTTTTGCTAACGAGAAAATAACAGCTCTTGAAGCGAACTTCGCCAAGTAATTACTGCCTGAGGAAAAGAGGAGCGTTTAAAAACATAGCATATATCACAGAGCAGAATTCCCGAATAACATCTACTTCTACTGCCAGTATGAACCAGAATTATATACAGTGGAGGCCAAGGCAGTGTATCACATAGTGATTCAGGTTTTCTAAAACACTTTCATTTTGCTTCTGGGTTTTATGATACCATGATGTCAGTACAGCAATATCGGGAGAAGATCCCATTTGCACACAGTAATTATAGACCATGTACTATACGTGCCTGTCCTCAGATGACTTGAGACTGTCCTGTATGACGTGTCTGTTACAGGCACTTACAGTTACAGGCTCGGCGAATGGAACGAGTATGTGCACCAATAACATTGCCGGTCCATTTATTAGGAATTGTGCTAGAAGTTATGACCAATTTTGTGGACGTACTGTATTTTTGTCTAAAATTGCTTATGTGCTGTGGAAAGCCTCCTACAGTACCTCGATACTTTCGGTATCGATTAATTTAGGTAATCGAAGTAAAAGAAATAAAAAACCGGAATGTGCGGATGTTCAGGAACTCACCTGCATTCAAATATTCATTTTGCTCCTTGCCAAACCGAAAGGAAAAAGCACATTTTCATGCCGACTTCACCGAGACACCTTAAAAAGGTTTTTACTAATTCAGCTGAGTGAATAAACAATGGTTATTCAGTCTCCCGAGAAACCCATCCAGTAGGGAACACTTACGCACGGGATCCTAAAAAGACCTTCTGCATCCTAGAGTTTAATTAAGATCCGTTATTAAATTCAGGACTTACAGAGTCATATGATCAGAATGGTTGTGAACGGGTTTTTTTTATCTGTACGGGTTCTGCAGAGTTAATCTGGTCCGATTGCCACTTAAGTATGTTCTGAATTGTGTTTGGGCTCTGGAATTAGGTTTAAAGCTAAAAAGAGCTGTATCACCCACGTGCTTGCACGTTTGTCACAACACTACTGCAAACGACTGCAGTAGATTACACACCTATTGCCAAAATGACAGCACACGAACTGCTGTCATGCGCAAGATGGCCACCAGGTGGCGGTCTTGATTCACTGCAGCATAGTGAACCTTTGGTTCTCGGCCACAAATGAAGGAAAGGCGACCAGTTTATTTTTCAGTGTTATAATTAAAACATGGAGCATTTCATATCAATAACTCTTATTGTACTCACTAACCCAGTGCCTTCTATATTAATAAACAAGAAAAGTCATTGTGTCTGAACCAATGTCACTTCAAAATAAAAACTGAGTTAACTCTTCTGCAGATCTATGAATTGGGGATGATCCGAGTAATTTAAGAATCTTAAAATTCTTAAACTCTACATAGGTAGTTGCAGGATTAATGTTTTTGTTAATACAACAGTCTCAAATATTAGAAATGACCTCCTCGTTAAATTTTATTCCGATTCTAATATCTTGTGTAATGAACAGTCATAAATTAATGAAATTGCCAAATTGTGAACCCACTTTGTGCAGGGATTACCAAAATCAATTTACTGATCTGGGATATTATATATATATATATTAATTGACCGACCTCTTTGGGAATTAATGATTAATAAACAATAGACTGAAATAACACTTTATTGCAACAAATATAGGACACCTCACGATAAACTCCATACAAATCCCTGTAATGTAACAATACAGTATGCACTGATACAAAAAAAGCAAAGTTTCACAAAATGTGTGGCTTAACTAATGCTCACTTTGTCACAGCTGCATGCAATAAAACCAGATGAGGAATCTCACTTATTGGAACATTGTCTTCTTGTACAATTGCAACAGTAAGAAAAAGGTTGCAGAAGATTTTGAACAGGTTTCAAGGAAAGGAAAGGCATTTAGAAACATATTGCAACTCACTAAAAAGTAATTGGACCAAATGTTTCCATGTTTTGCTGAAGCAGACAAAGGTGCATAGGATACATTATACAAAATCTACAAATTGAAAAAGGTAAAGTAACTTATAAAACTGTCAACATTAAAAACAACAAACATATCTCAAATCAATGGTTACTCTAAAGATAAAGTATTACCCAAGGTAAACACGATTGTCTCTCCATTCAAGTCATCTATAGTACATTTAATCGGCTCTACATCAACTGATCCCCTCTCAGACTTCTTTTCTTTATAATAAATCCCCCCCCCACAAGAATAATCATTTTGTTTTCAAAGTAATGTTTCCCTAATCAAATTCGCAATCCCTTTCATTCACCAAGAATGTTACACAAAATGTTTATGTTGCTGAATGTTTATGTTGCTGAAAACATGTTTTTGTTTTGCGAACTGCTGGAAATAATCAGTTTTAAAATAGGTGCTACTGGACAACCTTTCAAGACTGCAACACAGAATCAAATGTCATTGCTTTTGTCCTATAGTGGTGAGTTGAAATGCTTCAACGGATACACTTTTATGACAAAATGTTTCACAACTGAAAAACCATTTCAAAATAGTAGCTTTTTTAAAATTAATTCATTTGAAAGAACCACTTAATTGTGCAGTACTGTAGTGCTTTCAGTTTAAAAAAACACCATTATCAAAAAGTATCTTTGAAAGCCCCAACAGTTGTCTGAAAGTATCTTTTAGATGAATCAATTCTCTTTACAGAAAAAAAAAACAAGGCTCCAATCAATCACACTTATTTGACAAAAATATTTGTAATTCGCAACGTTTAACAAAACTTTCTCCTCATTAAAAAATATGGATTCCACTAAGTGATTAGAATTTGTATTGTGTAGTGCGGTTTTATACTGTACAGTATATGTAATTTATTCAGCACAAACCTCAACATTCAATGCACATACACTGGGCTCACCGACACTGAATATTTGCTCAATATCAATGCCTTGAGGGAGGAATGATTTATAAATCTTGTTTTTACAGTCCATGTTATTGCTGTATTACTCCAGGCCGAGACTGGTTTAATAGGATATTTGATTAATGATAATCATGTGTCATTTATCCATTGATACATGACTCAAAATAATCTGGAGAACAAGAACTACCCTTTCTATGAATCATTCAAAAACTAATTTGAATGTAAAACTGCTTCTAAAACAAAAACTTTGTTAAAGTTTTTTTTTAGGATTTTCAGCAAGCAGCAAGGCACGGTGTATGCTATAAAGCCAAACAACAAGAAGAAGTGATTTATATGCATGCCAACATCCTTAACCAAAAGCAAAGAGGAAGAGGAAAAAAGTACTTCAATCTGGAAACGCGATTTATGTCTCCTGTGACAAACAGCTACAAGCCTTTCCACTTGCAGTGCAAAACACTGGTACCACTTCAGGACCAGTGTGAAATACTGGTTCAGATCAACCAGGAGGCTGAATCCTCTGTCCTGTCACCTGCTTCTACAGGTGTGCAGAATGCCTGCTGAACAGGTCTAACTGCTCACCTGCCTTTGTGTGGTGCTACATTTGAATTAGGCCACAGATGTCACCCAGCCCCTCATATTTCACTACCTTTGCAGCTCACTGTACTCCCCAGAGTCAGCCCCTCTTAACGCGCAGGCCGTTACAGAGACTGAACGGGATATAACCGAGAAGACAGAAGGCATTACACATATCTTCCCATTATCTCTTCACTCTCAGGGCATGCCGAACCTCCGGACTACCAGGATTGTAAGGAAAACCGAGCCACAGAGGGAGAAAGAAATCAGGGTCACTCTTGAGGTTTCTGACCATCTGTGCAGGCAGGTAATCCAGAATCAGGTGAACCAAGTTTCGCATGGCGTAATCAGATTTTGCACCCATCACCCCTTTCAAATCCTCTTTTAAAACTCACAGTTACACTCCGGCTTCCCGTCCCGGAAAAGCGACTGCCTTGATTCGTGAATACCCGTTTTTTCTGTTGGATTGTTTTGTCGTACAGTGCCTTGAGACGATGTGCCGTGAAAGGCGCTATATAAAATGAAGGTTGCTCAGTCCTGTGGAGGGGTGGGGGATTCTGGCGAGATCCTGGACACGCTAACCTTTGGCTCTAGGGGTCGCGGCGGATGAACCAGATCTCGTTCCTGCGGCAGGCCACTCCTGGGTTCTCATACACTGCCACCATGTACATGTCTCTGTGGAAGTCGTCCGTGGACCCCAGCAGCTCCCACAGCAGGCTGATCTGCCTTGTGATGGTCTCCTCTGTGGTCGTCCCGAGGAACACCCTGGAAGGTCAAAGACAAGCCAATCCCGGTTCAGGCTTGTTCTCCTATTCGTATGCACCTGAGGATTCAGCTGTACAGTTAGGCTACTGAAGTCAGTGGTATGCTGCTGGTATTCCTTTCACCATAAGCTACAGTACCTCACACCTGAAAGCACATTAAATGTTTTGCTGAAAGGCCAGGTTGGGATGCTACAATGACCTACCTCCGGCATGAAAGAATTCAAGGTGCATAACCCCCCTCCCCCTCCTCCAATTAAAAATCTTCCAATTAAATAACCCCTCCCCCCCCACCAGTGCATGTAAATTCCAAAATCACTCCCAATCAGTCCAGTCCCGTTTGCCTTCCCCTAATGAAGGAGCTCGTGTGTCATTCACGACTTTGTCATGTTAGAGAAGCCAGGTGAGGGAGTCTTGGCTGAATAAGAGAGTAACAGCACAGGTGGAGATTGTGAGGGGTCACATACTGTAGGGTCATTCCAACTGCAACACCCACAGTCCCACTTACTGTGAGGAACTACAGCAGCCCGGTCTCCTCCAGGGGAGAAAGGCTTGCCGAACTTCAAGAAATGACAGATAACCTCATCAAAGTTTTCATCAAGCTTATTTCCACACATTCTTTTACAACAATTGTGTTGTTGGGTGTTGCGCATCTGTTTTTTAAAGGTTTTTTTTTTATTTGTATCCTGTATAAAAAGGTCATAAATAACAGAATATTAAAAAGACGAACTACATACATGTTTAAAGAGCGGTATTGCAGTACAGTGCTCTACAGTACACATTATCTTGGACAAAATATTGTTTGAAAAAAACGTACAACACACTTTCACCACCTCAGCCTGTGGCCATCAGAAAATGTTGAAAGCTGGACTGAGTTGTCAAATAATGATTTACTGTATTTTTATAGGATTTGAGTGTCTGCTGGGAACTATACTGAGCATCAAAAGAAACATTTCTAAATTATGCATATGTTTTAGAAAAATAAAGCTTTCAGATTTTGGATATTCATTAAATAGTTTTAAGCCTTGTTTTTCTGAGTTGATCAGTCATGACTAATCATAGCACTCAAGTGACTTTGTGGCACCTGCACTAAAACACCTTCTTATTGAGAACTGATAGGACAGAGGTGATGAGGCAATTTAACCCATCTGATGTCAAGCCTGGTGAAAAAAAAAAAATCAAGAAAGATAATTGTGTCGAGGACTGAGCTGTCAGCAAACGGTTACTGGGGTGTTTGGAAACCAGTAATTTCAAACCAAATATCGCGGGTCCATATCCCATCCCCTATTGCAAATTTATAGGATGTGCCAAGATGACACGCATCATCTAGGACAAGTTCCACAAGAAGAATTGGAAAAAACTCCACGAGACAGTGTCTGCAAGCTGGACACAGCATGCCTCACTGCTCTATGGCTTGGACTGCTTTCAACACTGCCACACGTGCTACAGGCCCGTGGGGTTTTACTGCAAACCCCCTGATGATGACAAATGTTGATCAGTATAATAAATTTACCTACAGTATCAGTTCAGTAAAAGGTCAGTGCACCTTCTATCAGGGTGATTTTCCTGCTGGCAAATTTGTTAAATTCTTACACAAACGTGCATTTGTAATAAGCTTCTTTTGATACTCAATATATATTTTATTTTTCATAACAATAATTATAACACCAGAAATCAGATGCTCAAATTCAGGAAACAAGGCACGCCTTAACCTGCTGTGATCCCTGACTAATGAATAAAGGTTTGGCACTGACACCAGTGCACTGCAGGTGCCATTGTGCTTATAAACCAGAGGAAAACATTCCCCACCTGGTGATGACTCTGAGAGGCCCTCTCTGGATGATGGCAATTTCGGGGTCTGTCGGATCCGGTGGGTTGTCCTGGAACTCAGCGGGTAGGTAATAAGCTGTCAGGATCTCTCTAACAAAGCCTGTCCCATCCTCCAAGATCTGGATCTTATTCACAACCGGCACGGTCATCCCTAAGTAACGGCCTGGAAGATGAAAGGGACAGAGAGTGGGGTTGTTTCCCCCACTTTAAAGACACCCTGGCTGACTCATCCCACCCTGACCTACGCTCAGCCATGTGTGTGCTGCTGCCTGGGGAATCTCAGTCACAGTCTGCTAGTGACATGACCCAGGCAGGCTCGAGCCCAGGACCACAGAGCTCACCCTGCGCTTGGGCAAGCGTCTTTACTGGCTGAGTCTTTTCGGAGGCATAAAGTCTCTTAAAGGCCAAATTTTTATTACAAAAACCTACAAGCAGTTAAAGATCCTGGATGTATAGTCGGGCAAAAGCCTCTTTAAAATCTGCAGCTCTGTAAGCAGGAGAGTAAAGTGCTGACTTACCTGTAGAGTTTTCCTTGCAGATGTAGCGCATCAGTTTCATGAAGGCCATAGAAATGCTCTGCTCGTACAGGTCCTCCCCCTTGGTGACGCAGGCCCATTTCCCAGCTGGATACACTCTCTCCTCGTACACAGTCTCATCCAGCTGCAACAGTGGAGCCACAAGCCCTCTCAACACTCTGCTCTGCATCACCCCACCTGCCACTGCCTTACGACACAATTTATGTGCCAAGATTTCTTCTAAATCTTTGATTGCATTCCCGACCTTTTATAAATTGCTCCAAGAAAGGTATGGTCATCTGAAATATATGCGTTAAAGAAATATTCTTCTCGATTCCTAAGCCGAGCATCAGAAATCAGGTACCTTTTCATGCCGAGATACTGTGACATATGGCACCTGCTCTCGGACTTGGCTCTGTCTCGTCATCAGCTGAATCGGACCAGACATTTCTGTTTTAAAAAAGAACATCCCATAATAGATTTAGTTCACAGCGCTGCCTAAAATAACAAAATGGGAAATGCTGAGCTTGAAGAGGCTACGTCTGAAAAAAGTGTCTATGTTGACGCATCATTTATGACTTGTAGACAACATGGCAAACGATAAAAAAGGCAAACACAATGTTAGGATATATACTGATGGAAAAAGGAAACGCAACACCACCTCCTCCACACTCTGACCCTCCCAGCTGCGTGGAACAGGCTGAAGAGTGACTCATCCATGAAGAGGACCTGATGCCACTGCTGACGAGTCCATCGCAGCCTCTGTCTGGCCCAAG